CACCCAGATTCTGCATTTACCAAGATCCCTGGGCGATTCCATGCAGATTAGAATTGTAAAGCATACTTTACATTCAGGGCCAAATGCTGGGAAAAGGTGGAGTTCAATTGACAGAGCTTATAGGAGCACCATCTGGGCCTGGAGAAGGGAGTGTCGGCCGCCAGACTTGCAGTATTGAGGTCCTGTAAGACGGGGCAAGGCCATTCATCCCTACTGCAGGGACGGATGAGTCTGGCTGTCCAGCTTGATGCCCTTAAAGCCTTCAAGTCATCTGACCACTGTGCGCAAAAAACCTGAGCTCCCCAAACGCTGCTCCAGTTACCACTCGGCTTCTGTTGCGGCAAATGTCCAGGTCCGCATTGCAGACACTTTTCCTTTGTATACCAACAATTGTTGTGCTTATTCTATAAATTGATCAAACAGACAATCAGGTGAGGAACCAGTTCTTGGACTTTGGCGAATAAATTAACCAGGGTGATAAACGCCCCTTCGGATGGCCCAGTCCTAAGCAACCAGCCAGCCGGCGGGCTTTTCCCGATTGGCCATCCCTCACCCACTTAGAGTTTCCACCATCTCAGGTACCTGAACTCCGCCGTTGTTCCCCCTGTTCCTCTAACAGCATTTCTCAACTTTGTCCTGCTAACTGGTAAGTTTCCTGAGGGCAGCCAAGGACCACAGCTGAAAAGATACGTGTCAGAAAGCTCAAAAGAGGCAAATTAGGCCTGGGGCGGTGGCTCAGGACTGTAATCCTGGCACTCTGGGAGGCCGAGGCGAGAGGATCCCTGGGAGCTCAGGAGTTTGTGACCAGCTTAAGCAAGATCGAGACCCCTTCTCTACTAAAAATAGAAAGAAATTAGCTGGACAACTAAAAATATATATAGAAAAAATTAGCCGGGCACGGTGGCGCATGCCTGTAGTCACAGGTACTGGGGAGGCTGAGGCAGGAGGATTGCTTGAGCCCAGGAGTTTGAGGTTGCTGTGAGCTAGGCTGACATCATGGCACTCTATTCAGGGCAACAGAGTGAGACTTTGTCTCAAAAAAAAAAAGAGGCAAATTAAATGTGGACCAATGAGGGAATGGTTAAGTGAATTATGGTGTAGATGCTCAACACAATGCTATGTAGCTATTGTCTGCACATGTAGTAATCTGAAAATACTAATGATGTATGTTCTGTGACACTCAGACCCAGGAGGAAACAGGCACACTCAAAATTGGGGGAATTGAGAAGAGTTTAATAACGGGGTCACTTACAAAGTTGTAGGCAGCGTTAGGAAAAGCAGAGTAGCAGGGAGAGCTGTTCCCACTGGCCCTGAAGGGGAAGGGGCACTGCTGGACCGTGGAGAGGACTGCCTGGAGGGCCCCTGGGCAGGAGCTGTGGCCGTGGGTGGAGGGACTCTGCTAGTCTTTGGTGATGGGGGGGGTTGTGCTAAGAAATGCCCCTAAAGCCCAAGCAGAAGGGCGAGGCAGGCAAGGGAGCGTACCCAGTGGCCTCCTGCAGCTCAGAGCAGGGTAGAGGCAGAGGCAGAGGGGGGCATCACAGAGCAAACAGGTGACTTTGTTGGGGCTCAGAAAGCAGCACGCGGCCCCTTCCCCACTTCCTATTAAAAAAAAAAAAAAAAAAAAAAAAAAGAAAGCAGCACGCCGAAGTGTGGCCCTTGGGCATGCTGGGGACTTTGAGCTAAAGGAGACAGGAAGGCCTCAAAAGCAGCCTCGGGAGCAAGTTCTCTCTGACCTTCTGCCCTCCTGCTTCTCTCGCCATCTTCTCCCCCAAAGCTGGTCATGGAAACCAGAATTCCTCTTCCCAAGGGCAGGTCATAGAAACTGGAACCTTCTCCCCCAGAGCAAGCCATAAAACCTAGAAAGAACACTCCTTCCCTCCCCCCTTGAAGACCCTCATGGGGGGGGATGTCCTAGGAGGCCCATGCCCAGGAGGAAGGAAGAAGATGACACCACAGGCCCTTGGGCGTTCCCCTGCATCTATGACCGCTGGAGCACACCCTTCTGTCCCCCTGCACTTCCACATGGCTGTCCGCTCTTCGTGGAACCTGAACATCAAAATAGACTGTTTTCCCAGGGTCTTTATTTCTGAAAGCTCCTGTTGTCACATAAAACTTTGATTAAATGAATTTGTTGTTGGGCTCAGTGGCACACATATGTAGTCCCAGCTACTCAGGAGGCTGAGGCAAGAGGATCGCTTGAGCCCAGGAGGTTGAGATTGCAGTGAGCTATGATCCTGCCTATGAATAGACACTGCACTCCAGCCCGGGCAACATAGCAAGACCCCATCTCTAAATAAATAAGTAAATCTGTTGTGTTTTTCTCTTGTTAATCTGTCTTTTGTAAAAGAGTATGGGCTATGACCCTTAGGATGGGTGAGGAAAAACATCACATCTTTTCCACCCCTACAATATCCAGCATTGTGAATTTATTGGAAAAAAACAAAAGCACAACACAAAATTGTAGGTGTACGACGGAGATGTTAAAATATATGTAGAGACCGGGCACGGTGGCTCACTCCTGTAATCCTAGCACTCTGGGAAGCCGAGGCAGGTGGATTGCTCGAGGTTGGGAGTTTGAAACCAGCCTGAGCAAGAGTGAGACCTTGTCTCTACTATAAATAGAAATTAATTGGCTATAACTAATATATATAGAAAAAATTAGCCGGGCATGGTGGCACATGCCTGTAGCCCCAGCTACGTGGGAGGCTGAGGCAGCAGGATCGCTTGAGCCCAGGAGTTTGAGGTTGCTGTGAGCTAGGCTGATGCCACGGCACTCACCCTAGCCTGGGTAACAAAGTGAGACTGTTTCAAATATATATATATATATATATATATATATATATATGTATATATACAGATATTTAAAACAAGATCCAAGGGAAATCCATCCATCCTAAAGGCTACCATTAGGGTATAAAGGTACTGGGCGTGTGCTGGGGATTTTGGTGAGTTGGAGCACTCTTGACTTTCAATGATGGATAATGTGGCTATGTTGCTTTTCTAAAAAACAGTCAATAAAGCCAGATGGGGGAAAGTTTACAGTGGGCCCTGCCGGCACCTCCTCGCGTCCTGGCAACCCTTTCAGTTGACAGAAAGCAGCCACAGGGAGGGAAGGGGTCGCCCCTCCCAAGGAGTTCCAACTGTCCTTACCCCTCCAGGCATCTCCAGGCCACCCCTGCCTTCCTTCCCCCTTCCACGCACCCCCTTCCCTTCCTCTCTTTGGCTGCAAACCTGATTTGAAGCAGCTAAACAGCCTCACACCCTTAATCTCACTGTCTGAGCGATAAATCCCGCAGAGCAGCTCATTCCATTCCAGCCCTTCACACCCTCCTCGGAGTAGCTGGGTGGTCTCTTCCGCCCAAGCGGGGCTTCTTGCCCTTCCTTCCACTTAGCATTCCCCCAGGAGTCAGGACTTCCCGCAGCCGGCATTCGCCTCCAGGACAATATCCAGATAGCCCCCTCCCGCCCCGGCCCAGCCCCGCCAGAGCCAGACCATAAAATAAAGCCGCGTGGGCCTTGCACCCCTGGACAGAGCCCTTTGTCTGGGCTGGAAACAGCATGAAAGGATGAAAGGGGCTTCCACTCTGACCTCGTCACCTCTTGTTATCTTGTGCCCACTCCCCTCAGACTGTCCGGGCAGACAGCCGCTTTCCCATGGTCACCGGGGTTAGCGGCGTCTTAGCAGCCAAGGGAGAGGAATGTGAGGAATGTACCTGCCTAAGGGGCGATTATTTTCATCAAGGACAGGCTGAAATGGATAATGAGGTCAAAAACAAACGCCGTCTCTTTCTCAAAGGACTCTCTAAAGAGAGGCTATTAGATATAGTTCATTAGTTGGGGGGGGGGACGACTTTTTAGACTGCTGCCTGGAGAGAGAGGGAGACATTGTGCCAAGTTTGGATTTTCCTCCAAGTCAGCAGGGGGCTAAGTCCAGACTCAAATCCAAGCTTCTACATACCTGAGCTTCCTTCAGGGACAGGCAACAAGTGGCATCCTGAGCTCCGAGATTTGCAACAGAATGTGTTGTAACTATGCAAGTAGGGTCCATGGTGCAAAACTTAATACCCAAAAACCAAACTGGGAAAACCGATACAACAGAGTTTATATATAAAAATATATTTATCCTATATTAGCAACTTTATAAAATGTCCTGCTTAGCCCGGCCTACTCTGTAGTCTCAGCTACTTGGGAGGCTGAGGCAGGAGGATTCCTTGAGCCCAGGAGTCCAGTCTGGGCAGCATAGTGAGATCCTGTCTCCAACAACACCAAAAAATTAAATAAAATGTCCCCTTTTTCTTACTATCGCCATCACTGTAATTCAGGTTCTAACTGCTAGTCCTCCCCCCTGCATTTTAACATAACTGGAATTGGAATCCTTAGTTGTAAACTCTTTCCCTTCCAATTCGTCCTGCATACAGCACAGCCCGTCTTCTTGGAATGGAATGTATCTGTGCCCTGTTGGAAACCTTCATTGCTCACCAAGGCTGAATGTGACAAAGTGGGTCCTAGCTCAGAGTCTGGGCAGAACAGACATTCCTTTCCCTCTCATTTTTCTTTCTTATCATAAAATGAAGCTCAAACTCTCTAGACTAACCTTTGAAGCCCTCCAAAATCTGAACCTAAATTAACTTTCAAATCTAAGACTCCCAACTGTACCCCTTCCCCATATTTCAAAAACCACTGTCCATTCAAAACCCCAACTTGGCCGGGCGCGGTGGCTCACGTAATCCTAGCACTCTAGGAGGCTGAGGCAGGTGGATCACTTGAGGTCAGGAGTTCGAAACCAGCCTGAGCATGAGCGAGACCCCGTCTGTACTAAAAAAAAAAAATAGAAATTAATTGGCCAACTAAAAATATATAGGAAAAATTAGCTAGGCATGGTGGCACATGCCTGTAGTCCCAGCTACTTGGGAGGCTAAGGCAGAAGGATTGCTTGAGCCCAGGAGATTGAGGTTGCTGTGAGCTAGGCTGACGCCACGGCACTCTAGCCTGGGCAGCAGAGTGAGAGTTTGTCTCAAAAAAAAAACAACCCAACTTGACCAACATGGTCTCTAGGCAAATGGCTTGGCAGCGGTAGCGGTACAATAAACTCCGAGTATGTTTCCGTTCTTTGGGTTTAGTTTTCTCATGGAAAAAAAATAACGACTAGAACTTCAGGCTTGGTTCATTTTGTGCACAATGGTGTTCCGGAACATTGTGGGGAGACAGAGAAGGCCAAAGCCCAGTGGTTGACCTTCCAGAGCGCTCCCTTTAGCCGGAGGGAAACACATAAACACATAAACACACCCTTGAGGAAAAGCATACCCCGAGAGCATCTGCAAAGAAAGGGCGAGAAAGAAGAAAATAACTGGGAGCAGAGAGGGCTGTGAGTAGGAGCACAGGTGCTTCCTAACCTGCGCTAGTATCTCAACTTCCCCCCTCCTCACCTGTAAAGTGGTGTTCCTAATACCCACCTTTTAGGGTTGTTGTATTTCAAAAGGGAGATGTGAGTAAAGCACTTAGAGAATGTCTGGCACATAATCAGTTCTATAAATGTTAGCTTTGATGAGATGATGCAGACTGATACCTGCAAAAGTTGTTCTTTTCATAAAAAGACAAGCAGGCTCTCTGTAGAACATGCTGAACTCCAAGTTCCCTGATCAGGCTGTGGTCACGCAGTCCTTTGTACCTTTGCTCCAGCTCCTCTCTGGGTTTGAAATGTACCCTCCCCTCCTCTTATCTCAATACTCAGCTCAAAGGACGCCTTCCCGCCTTCCCCGTGAGGCCTTCCCAGACCAGCCCCTCACCCCCGGCCCAGCAGAACGGACTCCTCCCTTCACCAGGGGCCCAGAGTGCTAGGATAGCTTGTCCCACATTGAATAATGGCTTGTGTATCTGTTGGTCCCCAGAGTTTGCATACTAACTCCTTGAGAATTAGGCTTGGAATTCCCAGTGTCCAACACCCAGATCTAACCCACTCATTTTGGTGCTTGTGGAAGGAATGAGCAAAGAACGAACAAAGGAACGGCTTGTCCCAGAGGGTACCTGCATGGCTCTGCACCAGATCCCACGCCCGCCAGCATCTCAACCCTCAGACCCTCGATGGCACCTGTTTGAGAAGAATTGTCACTCCTGGCTGATGCCTGGAAACTAAAGATACTTCAGGGCATTGCTGCATCTTCGGCTGCTGTCTGCGCCCCACCCGTGCAGCCTGCTGACCAGCTGCAGATGCCGCGAGGAGCATGACTCAGGGGGGTCAGAAGATATTTTAGTGCCAAGCTAGGGTTCAGTTATAGGGTAGTGCTCCAACTGCTGCCCTAGTAGCTCATCGTGCTAACAACTCGGTGGGCTTGTGTCCTCTTTAGCTACCAAGAAACTCAGAGGAGCAAAGAGATAACTGATGACTTTGAATTTTTGTCCAGTAGTCATGAAGGATATAAACGATCCCTGTTCTTGTCCCTATACTGAGTCCCAAGGGTTAAAGTCAAGGGTGCAGTCTGTGGCGGCCAAGTAAGACAGATGTTGCGTCCTCACAGGAGTACAGCCTCACAGTCTCCTTAGCATGTGCCACCCCCAGCTCAGCTAACGGCCCCGCCAGGGCAGGGCTGGTGGAGAGGGACGCAGGGCGGCTGTTAAGAACCAGAGCTTGGTCTCCAGCCGGATTTGGGTGGTTTAGGGATTCACCACTTATCAGCTAGGGAATATGCAAGTATGTAAATCTCTGAGCCGGGGTTTCTTATCTATTCCCTGGGAGGGCCACAGCCTGACTGAGGGCTTAGGTAGGAGGGTTTAATGCGGTAAAGTACTGAGTGCCTGGCATGTGGTGAGTGAGTCCTCCATGAACTGTACTGGAAGGCTGTGTATGTATAAGCTGGAGTAGTAGTGGTCCAATAAATAGCCAGACATTAGGGAATATAAATGTGTGTGTGTACATATACATGTGCAGGTTGGGAAGAGGGCAGGAGGAAGGTGGCTGCTCTAGGATGAACATTGGTCGCCAAGGGCAAGGGTGGCGGGAGACAGAGGTGCAGAGGCAGGTAGCGGAGAGATGAATCATGTCCTGTCCCAAAGTCCAGGAGTTACCTGTCCACGTAACAGCTCCCGCCACCCTGGCCACCCATCCTGTCTGGCTCAGGCTCCTGCTCCCCTGGATCCACTAGGATCCCCCAGAGAGCCTGAGACAATCACTCAATTACAGTTTCATATGTTAAGATCTGGAGGGAAATCTTAGACATCATCAAACCCCATCATGTCATGTTACTAGTGAAAGAACTGAGGCCCAGAGAGAATAATTAACTTGCCCAAAGCAATCAGTTCTTTTTTCTTTTCTTTCTTTTTTTTTTTTCTGAGACAGAGTCTCAGTCCATTGTCCTCAGTAGAGTGTCATGGTGTCAGCCCAGCTCACAGCAACCTCTAACTCCTAGGCTCAAGCAATCCTCCTGCCTCAGCCTCCCGAGTAGCCGGGACTACAGGTGCTCACCATGACACTCGGCTAATTTTCCTACTTTTAGTAGGACCACTCTTGCTCAGGCTGGTCTTGAACTCCTAAGCTCAAGAGATCCTCCCACCTTGGCCTCCCAGAGTGCTAGGATTACAGGTGTGAGCCACCTCGCTGGGCCTCAAAGTAATCAGTTCTAATCCTGCCCCTGCCACTAACTTGCTGTGAGACCTTAGGCAAGTCCCTTGCTCTCTCTGAGCCTGCAGTTTGCTACTCTGTAAAATGAGGGGGTTGGAGTATTTAGAGATCAAAGTTCCCTTTCAACTCTGCCCTTTGCTATATTAAGATAATGGTTCCTGGCCAGGCACGGTGGCTCACGCCTGTAATCCTAGCACTCTCGGAGGCCAAGGCGGGCGGATTGCTCAAGGTCAGGAGTTCAAAACCAGCCTGAGCAAGAGGGAGACCCCGTCTCTACTATAAATAGAAAGAAATTAATTGGCCAACTGATATATATATATATATATATATGTATATATATATATATATAAAATTAGCTGCTTGGGAGGCTGAGGCAGGAGGATCTCTTGACCCCAGGAGTTTGAGGTTGCTGTGAGCTAGGCTGACGCCACGGCACTCACTCTAGCCTGGGCAACACAGTGAGACTCTGTCTCAAAAAAAAAAAAAAAAAAAGATAATGGTTCCTTCCACCACCCTCAAGTTTAGATAGAAGATTCCTCCCTCCCTCTCACCTACCCCTCCCCCCAAAAGTCAAGAAAAAACATGCTTGGATAATGTTTGGGCTCACTTAATTTTGAAGAGTGCTGGTTTTCCCCAGGGGTAAAGACAGGAAGGGAGAGAGTAGTCAGGCAGAGGATACTGCCGAGGAAGTGGGGCTCCCAGGCGCCTGCCGTGGGCCCAGCCCCAGTGCCCCCAGCCCTGCAGGGCTTCTAAGAGCTGGCAGCGCCACAGGGATAAATAAGGCCAACGACCGCACCTTACATGGCCATCCCAACGGCCGCCCGGAATCCCGGGGATTACGCAGACTTCTGGAGGCCCTGGAACAAGTGCACATCACCTGCTGCCACCACAAGTGTGCCCGGGCTCCTGCAGCCTCTGTCTTGTGACTGAGGAATTTGTAAATGGAAGCTCTGAGCTCACAAAGGAGAAAATGTCTCTCTGATGTCACACAGTTGCTGCCAATTCATCAGCTCCAGCTAAAGGGCAGAGAGGGGGAAGCCACTGCCCAAGGGTCCTGCTGCCCCTGGCTGAGCTGGGGCTTCCCCTCCCGCAGGCTTGCCGCCAGCCCTCAGGGCCAGCTGCGGATGCCCAGGCTGCTCGCGTTTCCAGGGCACGCAGGGAGGCAGTCCCAGCGCCACTGAACCGCGGCTAGCCCTCCCAGCACTCTCCCGCCACCTCTCTGTCTTCGGGGACAGTCAGGGCATGTCCTGGAGTCTCAATATAACGCTGGCCTGAGGGTCCTTCCCTAGGATCACTTCAGAGGTAAAACTGAGTCACATGGACGTTCTCTTGGATGTTTGATAAGTATGCACAGTGGCCAAAAAGCAGAAGCCAGGAATCCCATTGTCTGCCTGCCTCTGCCACTTCCCAGTAGTGTGGAACTGCTCTGAGCTGCTTTCTGACCTGGAAAATGAGGATAATAAGGATACTTATCTTATAGTATGGTCCTGCGGGTTCAACGTGAAGCCCCGGCACAGAGAGAGCCTGGCAGGTAGTAAGTGCTCAATACATGTCAGCTTGAAACCGACGCTCACAGCTACCACTGGGCAAATGACCTAATCCCTGAGTCTTAATTTCCTCATCGGTCCAGCAGGGACAGGCACATGTCAGAGACAGTCACAGAGAATTCAGTGAGGAAGGATAAAAAGCCATTAACACAGCACCTAGCCCTGGAAAAATAAATGGTGGCTGCTGGCACTATTGCCTCGGCCCGTCACACTGTGACCTGGGAAGGCCCAACATGTCCACTGGAAGCCCTTTCCCCAAGCCTGACACAGTCCTGCGCCCCCTTAAAGTTGTAACCCGAACTTAAAGATGAGACGCATAGGCCGGGCGGTGGCTCACACCTGTATTCCCAGCACTCTGGGAGGCCGAGGCGGGCGCATTGTTTGAGCTCAGGAGTTCGAGATCAGCCTGAGCAAGAGCGAGACCCCGTCTCTACTAAAAAAATAGAAAGATGGCCGGGCGTGGTGGCTCACGCCTGTAATCCTAGCACTTTGGGAGGCCGAGGCGGGCGGATTGCTCAAGGTCAGGAGTTCGAAACCAGCCTGAGCGAGACCCCGTCTCTACCAAAAATAGAAATAAATTAATTGACCAACTAAAAATATATATACAAAAAATTAGCCGGGCATGGTGGCGCATGCCTGTAGTCCCAGCTACTCGGGAGGCTGAGGCAGGAGGATCGCTGAGCCCCGGAGATTGAGGTTGCTGTGAGCCAGGCTGATGCCACGGCACTCACTCTAGCCTGGGCAACAATGTGAGACTCTGTCTCAAAAAAACAAAACAAAACAAAAAAAATAGAAAGAAATTAGTTGGACAACTAATATATATATATATATATATATATATATATATATATATATATATAAATTAGCCAGGCATGGTGGCACATGCCTGTAGTCCCAGCTACTGGGGAGGCTGAGGCAGGAGGATTGCTTGAGCCCAGGAGTTTGAGGTTGCTGTGAGCTAGGCTGACGCCACGGCACTCACTCTAGCCTGGGTGATAGCGGAGACTCTGTCTCAAAAAAAAAAAAAAGATGAGACGCATAAAAAACATGGTCAAACATGAACACATAACATTTTTAAAATTACTTTTAGAGTTTTTCTCCTTTTGGGGGACTGTTTCCAATTTCGGCCTAAGTTGCTAGGGAGATGAGTGAGCTGAAAAGAAAAAGGTGCACGGATGTGAGAGAAGGGATTAACTGGGGTGACAGCGGAGACTGTCATGGAAGATGAAGTGACATCAGGTAGGAGGAGGAGGCTAAAATAGAGAACAATAAGAGAGCAGTCGATCCCTCTGGAGTTGGAAGGGACCCCAGACCAGCTCCACTGGAAGCCCTGGAAGAGCCATCACCGCTTCAAACTTAAAGAACAGACCTGGAAAAGTGGCGGCAACAACGGCTGCCGCGGCTCCCCCTCTTCTGCACCCCCAGACACCAGCGCCTGCAGTGAGTGACCATGGCCACCCTGGCGTGGCCCATCCTTCATCCTCTCCGGCACCAGCGTCTGGGTGTGGGTAAAGCTGACTACCCATCCGCCTCTGGGAGTTCTCATCCCTGCAAGCACCACGCTTGCAGTAACTCCAGCAGGAGAGCCCTGGTGGGAACACCTCATTCCCAGGCTTATCCTTCCTCCCCTCTTCCCCCCAGCCTCCCCTCTCCCCCCAAGACAAAGGTGCTCCCTGTTTTATCCTTCCATGAAGCATCGCCATTTTAATGGCAAGATCTAGAGATCTGACAGAAATATATCCTGTTCCGTAAACACTGGCTGAGCTCTATCTGATTGCCAGGCACTAGGCTGCGCCCTCCGCTACCTCTACCTCTACCTCGCAAGTGCCCTGTTCCTGTCACTCCTCCTTACGGGAAACCCTGGAGAGTTGCATGGTGACTGTCCTCACCCCCTCAAGTCCAGGCAATGGCCAAGTGTGGTGAGATTCCCTCCTGGCTCCATTCCGCAGCCCTTCCTTGTCTGTCACCTGTGCCAGTGCCACTGCCATAGCCCTGCCCCCAGCCTCACCTCCCTCTGATCTAACCCTCCCCCAACAGCAGCCTCATCTGCCTCCAACCCCCTTCGTCACATTATCCCCCAACCCCAGATCCTTCAATAGTTTCCCCCAAAATTTCATTCAAGACCCTCCCTAAAATCCTGCCCCAATTCTCCAGGGTGGGCCACTTTTCGTGGGCTCTGCCTCGCCCCTGCCAGGGCTTTCAGCGAGGGACGGAGGCGAGGGTCCCCTGGTGCCAGCCTGACCCGAGGGCTGTGCACACAGGCGGGCCTGGTGCAATGTGGCCGGGCCGAAAATCTGAATCATAGTCAACGAGGGCAGCCAAATTCCTATCTGGGAAATCAGGGCAGTCTGAAGGGTGAGGCCAAGCCGTAAACAGAATGAGTAATGAGGTCAGAAGCTGGTGGGGACCAGAATCATGTCTAGATGCAGTTCAAGGAAACGGAAATGGTACAAGACTGAGGCTGTGAATTGAATTATAAGAAGGTATCGGAGACCTGAGCGGCTCTCCGCGGGGATGGGCGGGAGGGGCAGACCGGGGAAACCGCCTTCGCTCTGGCTTCCTACAGCAGTGCACCCAATGCCCTGTCTCCCCTGCCGCCTGCGGTTTTATACCCCTCGCATGCCTCCCAGCAAAGCCCAGCGATTTGTCCAAGGTTGCAGGGTGCTGGACGTGGAAACAGAGCTGGACCTCCCACCTGCGAGGGGCCACCTGCATGCAGAACGTCACCTTCATAGGTTGGCGAATTTCTTCACATCTGTGTCTCAGAGCATCTGTCAAGTGGAGGGCAATAATAACACCACTTCCCAACAGTGTTACATAATAACAACACCACCATGAGGATTAGCCAGGCAAATATTTGTCAAATGCTTAGAACAGTGCTCGGCACATAGTAAATGCTGTTTAAGTGTTAGTTAAATACAAATAAGGTGCCTGGCTGGTAAATAGGGCCAGTACTCAAAGCCAGTTCTAATTTTAACATTTGAGCGCTTATATTTTCCACCACTAAGGTCAACAGCAGGCTACGAGGGGCCAGCCGACTATAGGACTTTCAAAAATTAATTTTCGACCTGGCGCGGTGGCTCACGCCTGTAATCCTAGCATTCTGGGAGGCCGAGACGGGCAGATTGCTCCAGGTCAGGAGTTCGAAACCAGCCTGAGCAAGAGTGAGACCCTGTCTCTACTATAAATAGAAAGAAATTATTGGCCAACTAATATATACAGAAAAAATTAGCCGGCCATGGTGGCGCATGCCTGTAGTCCCAGGTACTCAGGAGGCCCAGGCAGTAGGATCGCTTGAGCCCAGGAGTTTGAGGTTGCTGTGAGCTAGGCTGACGCCATGGCACTCATTCTAGCCTGGGCAACAAAGTGAGACGCTGTCTCAAAAAAAAAAAATTAATTTTCATTTCAACTAAGGATAGAAAAACATGCTGTTGACTATTTCACTGGGCACACAGGAAATATCACTCCAGTTACTACCCTTACCTGTTCTTAGGAAACCACTCAGAAATCCAGAAGGACCAGTTCAAATATAGTACCTATCCTAAATTTAATAGGCCTTGCAAAAAAAAAAAAAAGTCAATCTTAGAAAATGTCTGTGGGTGTCAAAGAGGACCAGCCTGGATTAGGCAATCTCAGTTGACTCCAGCAAAGTTCAAGGCTACACTCGCATTGGAAAGATAGCCGTGGGGAGATAATGCAAAGAGGAAATATTACATTTATTTTTCTCAAAACTGTTGGGGGTGGCAGTGTTTGGAAAGAGAGAAGAGAGAGGGAAAACATGAGTGCACGGTTTGTAAAGTGATAAAAAATAGACTTGCGTGTTATAAAAGCGCAGTGGCAATTCCAAGAAGATAGTACGAAAGTCTGTTTGCTCTAGCAATCTATCAACCAGAAATCGTTATTAACTGTACCTCGCACGCGACTACAATATGGCACTAATAGACGTTTGAAAATGATGACCTTGATATACTGCAAAATCCTGAACGGCTTTCTGAAACAGGAGAAAAAATTAAATGAAGCCCGGTATGGTTTGTGACAAGTGTATTTTATTGTATTCTAATTTTCTGAAAACAAGCAATATTTTTGTCGTCGTAGCACGTGATGATTTATATGCCATCTAATAACTTTCCACTCGTCATCATATTAGAACAATACGTTGCCCGATGATGGCTGGTATCGGGGTTTAATAAACATTCTTTCCTTTCCACACGCCACTAGCCCATGTCGCTTGGCTCCGTTCCCCGCCCCGGCCTTTATGCCTGTCTCCGCCAGAGCAGGCCTTCAAGTTTTAGGCCCAAACTTGACCGGGATGGTCTTCCACTGTTTTTATTCCTCCCCAAGAAAGAGGGAGCACCTGGCCTTGGAACCAGCCATGCTGCCTCTCCGGGTCTCACACTCCGGCTTC